TATTAGGTCGTAGTATCCTTTTTAAAACAGCTATATCATAAGCCTACTAGTTGTAGAGCAGAACCAGACTTCGCCCACTTACTAGAAGGTGACGGACACGATTCGGCCACAATTATGATTGAACAATTTGCCAGTTTGCTGTTCACGTCGTTAGATGGATCGGAAAAGTGACGTGTGCCGCTTCGTAGGTGTCTTATTGAAGGCATAAAGCTTCGGAATAAAGTCAAGTATGGTTGGCTTGTTGAGCCAAATGAGGTAGTGATTGTGAAGAGTAATTGTTCTCCTTTGAATCGTTTCCTTACGCATACGAAGGCCTAGAAACATCTCGCCAACGCCAGTAGTGGACTCTCGACGGTCAGTGAGAGCACAAGACTGACACTGGCAGAAAGAATCAGGCAGCCAAGGAAGTTGACAATCTAATGAGGAAAAGGAACGGGCACGTAAGGAAATAACATATATAAATACCTGCTACTGAATATGTTTCGGTAGAGGTTATATAGTCTGCATTTGGTATATGGTATAGCGACCTCTCCAAGTGCTCTCGTTATAAACCCTGCGTATTTACCTACCACCTCTACACATTGCTTAAGAAATAATCAATCTGGGATCACAAGCAGATAGTCGCTTGCCAAACTCAACTCAATTGATGTATGATAACAGGAGGTAGGTTGAACAACTGCGGTTACAGGCTTATTTTACATTCTTTCAGCTAGCCAAATGCCCTGACTACCATCTGGGACCAGTAAATCAAACGCGTGCAGCTGTTCTACAAGTGGGCTTCATGAACTGTAGAAAAGTAAACAACAAAGTATGGGGGCTCTGCTTTTTCGGTGGTGATAATTTTTTCAGATTGTAGACTTCTCAAACCCTGATCGAGTTACCTATTAAGGTCCCAGTGTAGATTGAACTGGGGTTGTATTACCATATTCATGCGGAACTCTTAAGCACAGAATATGCAGCTGAGAGCAGACAGCTTCAAAGATTCTGCAATTTTAATATGCATCGTGTCGAAGGGTTTTGGCCAAACTTCGGGATTTTCGATGACTAATCTGCTCTGTACTTGCGGCCATAACGAATATTCCATGTTCATTTGTTACTCCCGGACAAACTTATCACTACGGTTAGTCTGGCCGCTGTTTACTCCATAGTTAATTCACAAAATTTCCGTTTTTAAATGTCCGTAACCACACAGCGCCAATTCCCCAGGTCCTATGTCCAGGGCATATTACGTCAAAAAGTCACTATCGGAGAAATTGAAGGGACTGAAATATACATTTTCGTCTTATTGGCCATCGTCAGCCAAACGTTCTTCATCACGAAATCTGAGCGATTCCAAATTTTATGTTGGATATTTTGACCTCTGAGCGTCAGCCCGACGCTGTTCAACATTTACCTGCGGGGAT